TAGAGAGAATGTTGTCAAGTTCATAGAGTAGTCAAATATAGGTAAATCCGATATGGCGGCGAGAGCTGCAAAGACTTTGAAGCGCCCGTACTCTGAAACTATTGATTTTACAAAAAAGCGGTTATTAAATGAATTGAAGGAAATTTTATCCAGTTTAATTCGAAGCTTGCACTTTCGTCCTCGTGCAGTGCTGCCACTATGATGAGCCAAAGATAATGTTTATCTGTCAAGTTGAGATGCGATGTGGGTTGACAGGTCGCTACACATATCTACTTTTATTGTAGATTGAGCCAAAAAAAAGATATTTATAAAAAAACAGTTTTTCGACGCCATTTTTCCAATATGGCGGCCACTTGCAGTAAAAATTTGAGGTCGCAAAGTTGAAATTTGTAAAGAACACTTCTAAATCTATAACAATACTAATTTTCTCTAACCAATAAATTGATAGTTGTATCTATATATTAATTTAGCAAACACAAAGTATCATTGAACAACGGTAATAATTCCTTCTAAACTGGGTTAAACTTATGAATGTGTAACAGCTAACTGTGATTGTTTTCCTTTGCATCCATTATCTATGAATCTAGTGGAATGCACGCGAAAGTATAACATGTGCATTTACAATCTCCAACATTTCTATCCATTTAACTATGTACGCAAATTATAGAACAAGTATAAAGGACTAAATTATCAATAACGAAACGTACAATTACCCATACAGGTTGCGACTACTTATAGCTGTTTTTGTAATAATCATTTATTATAGTAATATAATTTAATTTGGTTAGTATAGTACTAATAAAAAGAACCTTGGGTTTACTCTTCTGGAATTAAAAAAAAAAAATATGGTGGCAGCGTTGATAGACAAACCGAAAACCTTGAAATATTATAAGCCTATGAGTAATGGTTATTTTGTATAATATAAAGTAAGTGTATTTTGTTATTTTATGTAAATTTTTTACTGTTTTTTATTAATTTGAAGTAGTAAAGTTTAGAAAAAAAATTATTTACAATTCAACAAAAATATCCCTCACAATTCACTGTTAAAGCAAATTTAGAAAGCGGAGTATGAATAATTTTTTGCATTAGAACTAGTAATATAATAGTAGATCAAAGTGACTTTTCCAGAAAGTTCTGTACCAGATGTGTAGATTATAATTTACAAACCATATTTGATCGACAAGAATAAAGTGAAACTAAGTCGACAAGGTGTTATTTGCCTGAACTTTTTCCAAAAAGATTTAAGTTGCTCATCTACTTAGACAGTCTTGGCCAAGATATTTATTAAATATATAGTTTATAAACAACATAAATCTGGTCGACTATTCAAATTTACCAATGATTTTTTTTAATGAACATTTAAATTTAGAATAGTTTGTGTTTTAAATTGTTGAAGTACTTAATCTTGAAGTACTTGACTTGCCAACAAAGAACTTATATAAAATTCTTACTTTTTAATTTTTGATTAAATTTTGATCAATTTAATTAATATTTAGGAATTATATGATCTGAATATATTTTTTTTCAAGTGATTTTGTTGGTTTCTTAAATGAACAAAATATTTTGAAATCATACAATCAATCTGTAAATTCTTGCACTTTGATAAATATCTCACTGAAATAGAATGTAAATATTATGTTCATATAAAAACACTCTTAACAAGCGCACTAAACAGGATCTCGCAAAACAAAAAAATATAATCAAATAATTAATATTATCGATAATTCTAATTTAATTTGAATTCTGAATAAAGTGTTTTTGAGTCACTTTTATAGAGTGGTGTTGCGCTAATATTTTTTTGCCGGAACGCTAAAATTTAAAATCCGGTTCAAAAAATTTGATAAATTTCGATAAGAACTCACAAATGTAATATATGACTTCTTATATAATTAACTCTATTATATACAGCTAGTCTATACATTAAATTGTACAAGTATGAGGGTACATAATTTGAGTACATAATTTATATTCTTTAATAACATTAATTATATTTATTGTGGTATTATTTGTATTCATTAATGCTTACAGGTATTTATTATGATATAAAAGTACTCAAGAGATTTATTACAATACTTTATAAGACTTAACCTAATATATGATAGATAACCTATTATACCTATCATACTATACTATATTATTGTATATCATATATAGATATCTAATATCTATCATACCGTGAGATACCTATACCGTCATTAACTTATTATATACCTACATACCTTTTACTTCTTATAAATATACTGTCTAATTTATATATTCACCTATATTATATAGGTTTATCTTACGCTCTATGTATTTTTTTATTATCTCTACCTATCTATTGTCTATACCGGGATTTATAAATACTACTGTCTAATATATATTCTATTAATAATATGATACTAATAAACTGATATTAACCTATTACCTATCATACTATACTATATTATTGTATATTATATATAGATATCTATTATCTATCATACCGTAAGATACCTATACCGTCATTAACTTATTATATACCTACATACCTTTTACTACTTATAAATACTACTGTCTAATTTATATATTCACCTATATTATATAGGTTTACCTTACGCCCTATGTATTTTTTTTTATCTCTACCTATCTATACTTGTCTATACCGGGAATTGAACCCGGGACCTCATCGTCGTGAAGTAGCGCACCTTAGCCACTACCCTATCGGGTATCCCCACCAATTATATAATATGGGACGCGCTGTTGTTACCGCGGTACATTTTCTAATTAATTAGATAATTAATACTAGGGTGGCGCGGACGACACGCGAAAAAAGACGGTTGATTGTAGCGTTACGGTGGTGTAGTGGCTAAGGTCGTAGCGTTCCACGCGGCGGACCCGGTTCGATTCTCGGTAGGGTTAATATATGTGTAAGGGAAAATTATACGAATAAAGGATATATAGTAGATATAGGTTAGGTGTATTCGGTATACAATGTAGGCATTTGAGAGTATTGATGAAATATAGAGCGTATGGTATAGATGTAAGGCGTTTAGCATAGAATGCACGTATAGGCATACGTAAGGCTATAAAATACCCGAATAGGAACCTATGATGTAGGTGTTAGCGTATAAGAAATGCGAATGAATATAAGATTTAATTTATATAATATTATTTTTCTTAAGAATTTTTATCTCGGTATTAAATATCTGAAATATCCGTTAAGGCAATCGATTACACCTTACTGCTGCCTTTGCCGTTATCACTTCATAGAAATTAATTACTGCACTTTTTAAACGATTGTGTGCACTGGCGCGCGACAATAGACATAGAACTATAAATTTTATTAAATGTTTGAGTAACTGTGCGAGCTGATTTTCTTAAGATGTTCTTAGTCTCGCAACTTACTAAATTCTAAAAATTCTAA